GAGTGTGTCAGCCTTGCACTTCAGGACCGGAAGTCTGCTTTACCTGGTGGGAGACATGGACTCCCCTACCCTAGGCCGGTTCCCCCAGTTTCTAGTTCTTTCCAAACAGTACATTCTCCCAGATGCCTGTGTGTGAGGGGGAGGGGTTGAGTCCCTTCCACACCTCAATTCTATCTCTTCCTAAAATGGTCGCAGGAGCACTTACAGGTTGACAAACGCTAAGTAATAGAATCTTTCTTTCTTTCTTTCTTTCTTTCTTTCTTTCTTTTTTTCTTTTTCTCTTTCATCCATTCTTCCTTTCTTTCTGTCTTCCTTCCTTCCTCCTTCCTTCTTTCTTTCTTTTCTTCTTCCTTCCTTTCTCTCTTCCATTCTTCCTTTCTTTCTTTATTCCTTCCTCCCTTTCTTCCTTTCTTTGTTTCTTCCTTCCTTCTTTCTTTCTTCCTCCCTTCCTTCCTTTCTTTCTTTCTTTCTTTCTTTCTTTCTTCCTCCTTTCTTCCTTTCTTTGTTTCTTCCTTCCTTCTTTCTTTCTTCCTCCCTCCCTTCCTTTCTTTCTTTCTTTCTTCCTCCTTTCTTCCTTTCTTTTCTTTTTTCTTCCTTTCTTTCTTTCCTTTCTTCCTTCATTTCTCTTTCCTTCTTCTTTCCTTTCTTCTTTCTTCCTTCCTTTCTTCCTTCTTCCTTCCTTTCTTTCTATCTTCCTTTCTTTCCTCCTTCCTTCCTTTTTTCTTTCACTCTCTCTTTCTTTTCCTTTTCCTTCCTCTCTTTCTTTTTGCTTTTTGTGTTTTTGTCTTTTCAAGGTATTTTGCTCTTAGTTTTTCCTCCTCACTTGGTGATACTGTTTCTCCACCCTTGTGTTATCATTTGTAGCAATCTCCACAGGTGTAGGGGAGGGAACTGCTAAAATGGATAATTAGACAAGTTAACTCAGTCTCAGCTCTCAGAAGCCTTTCTCCTTTAAGGTAACACTGTTTCCTGCAGAATTCACTCTCCACCTCTTCCTGCTCTTCCTCTGCCCCAACAAGCTGCAGTGCTCCCCTAGGGAATCAGGGATTGACCTTTCTCAGAGACAGCGTCTTCTGCAGCGGAGGACTGGAGTGACAGGGAAGGTCCCCTCACCCTGTGAGCCATTGTGCTCCAGTGAGTGCTGCACTGGGGTCCACAGCACACTCAGGATCCTGTGTGACACACCTTGTATCTTGTTCCCCAGAGGCAGGGGCTGGGAGTCATTTTCTCTAGCTGAGGGTAAGAAATGACCACATTTCTGCTACACACTTTGTGGTGGCTGCTCACAGGTGACAGTTAATGCTGGTCAGCAAGATGACCACGGGGCTGTGTCTCAATGGTGGCAGCACTAGTTGCTGTCACCCTTCCTGCAGCCCTGCCCCTAATTCCTTACTGTGATATGAAGTTAAACAGATACTGTGTTACTTATGTTCTCTTCCTCCTTCCATTCTTTTACTACCTGTCCTATGCTATAGAACATCTCATAAGGAAGACCCTGTTGACCTGCTGGCTCATGTGGATTGTCTCTTAGCTTCTGAGTCCCCTCAGGAAATGTGCAGTTCTGTGCTGAGGGGACATCTCTTCCTGCAGGTCCCTAGTGTGTTCACAGTTGAAGTGTTCAAACACATAGTTCAGAGTTATCACTGGTATAGCTTTGTCTTTGCAGATTTTACTTTACCTTGTTAATTGTGGATTAAAAAAACACATTATTTCATGAATGAGTGTTCTACCTGCATGTACACCTTCATACCAGAAGAGGGCACCAGATACCAGGGTAGATAATTGTGAGCCACAATGTATTGGCTGGGAGTTGAACTCTGGATCTCTGGAAGAACAGGCAGAGGTCTTAACCTCTGGGCCATATCTCCAGCCCCTTAATTGTGAAAATTCTTAAATCTTCTGCACAGATCCCCCAAAGGCACATGTGATCCATCACCCCAGACCTCAAGGTGACATCACCCTGAGGTGCTGGGCCCTGGGCTTCTACCCTGCTGACATCTCCCTGACCTGGCAGTTGGATGGGGAGGACCTGACCCAGGACATGGAGCTGGTGGAGACCAGGCCTGCAGGGGATGGAAACTTCCAGAAATGGGCAGCTGTGGTGGTGCCTCCTGGGAAGGAGCAGCATTACACATGCCATGTGCAGCATGAGGGTCTGCCTGAGCCCCTCACCCTTAGATGGGGTAAGGAGGCTGTGGGTGCAGAGCTGGGGTCATGACCCTCACCTTCCCATTTTGCCTTCTCTTCCCAGAGCCTCCTCAGCCCACTGTCCCCATCATGGCAGTCATTGTTGTTCTGGTTGTCCTTGGAGCTGTGGTCATCATTGGAGCTGTGGTGGCTGTTGGATCTGTGTTCTGCCTGAGGACCGCTCTCCCTCCCTGGCTCTGGGAATCCAGGTGTTATAGTGCTCATTTTAAAACTTACTAGAAGTTTTTAAAACCTACTATATTTGGGGTATTTAAGCCTCTCCCTCCTTTCCACCAATGCACCCAACCCTAGGTAGGAGAGAGAAGGTTAGTAGGGAGAGGGGTCTCCATGGAGCAGGATGGACCACAGGCATGTTGTCAGGACAATTCCCCCTGAGGACAGACAGCCACAGCAGAAAACAGCCCTCCCGGGACATTGGCAAGTGACATTGGACACACAGCTGGGAAATAACAAAGTAGCACAGACAGTTAATATCTGCCCAGCTCTGGGGCTTTAGAGCTTGTTAAATGAATCTTAAGAGGTTTTTGTTTCATTTATAGACAGGAGAGATACACCCAGTTCCCTTTAAATTTATTTCTGTACAACGTGGAAATTCCGCTAAGAAAACTTCAACACACTAAAGCAAGCAGCTGAAGAGGACACTAGAGAATGGGAAGACCTGCCATGCTCACTCACAGACTGAGAGGATTAACATTAGGAATGGCAGGTCCACCGAAAGCAATCTACAGATCTAAAGCAACCGATCAGAATTTCAGTGCTGTTTTGCACTGATACACGGGAAAAATTACAATTCATGTGCAGCACAAGACCCTAGACAGTAGAGCAATCCTGAGCACTGGGGTTGTGCTGGAGCATGGGGGCACAGCTTTAGTCCTAGCAGTGACAAGGCAGAGGCAGGTGGATCTCTGTGATTCCAAGGTCAGTCTGGTCTACACAGTGAGTTCCAGCCTAGCCAGGACTACACAGTGAGACCCTGTCTCAGAACAGCAACAACAACAAGAACATTGCTGGAAGGATCATCATATCTGATTTCCAGTCCTACTTCACAGGCCAGGCGTAGCCATACAACCAGCATGGCACCCACACAAGGTTCCTGTGTGTGAGTCTTCTGCCTGTGTGTGTCCGTGTGCACATGTGTGCTAGTTCCCTAGGAGATCCAACGACGGCCTCAGAGCCTTGGAGTTGTGGGTGCTTGTGAGCCACCACCTCTGAGCTGGGATTAGCACCTAGGTCCTCTGCAAGAGCTGAAAGCACTGTCACCTCTAAACCAGTGGTTCTCAACCTGTGGGTCACACAGTGGATGTCCTGCACCTCAGGTGTTTAAGTTAAAATTCATAACAGCAGAAAAATTGCAGTTATGAAATAGCAACAAAGTAATTGTGTAATTGGGGGTCAGGATAATATGAGAAACTGTATTAACGGGTCGCAGCCTTAGGAAGGCTGAGGACCACAGCTCTAAACAACATTTCCCCAGACATGCATTTTAGGCAAAAGAGCCAAGGCTAGATACTGGATGAAAGAAAACATCTTCAACAAATGGTGCTAACAATACGCTATCTCAGAATGAAGAATGAAACTGGGTTTTCTCTCTCACTCTGCACACAGCACACCCAAATGTGTCAACACTCCAGTGCAAGACCCCAAACTCAGCCTGGCTGTGGTGGTGCACACCTTCAAACCCAGGACAAGGGAGACAGAGACAGGTGAATCTCCAGACCAGCCAGGACTACACAGAGAAAGCCTGTCTTTAAAATGAGAAAAAAAACAAAACTGTCAGGATGCTAGAAGGAAAACTAGAGAAAACACTTTAAACTAAAGGCAGAGGCAGGGGGATCTCTGTGAGTCTGAGGCCAGCCTGGTGTACATTGTCTAGCAAGCTGCAGGCTATGGATAGTAAATGAGATGCTGTCTCAAAAAGGCTATTTCCAAAACCAGAACCAGGGGTTACTAAAAATGGTACCCACTTCCATGGCTGAGCCATCTCCCTGTGAGCTGTCAGGCAGAGGCCCCAACAACAACCCAGGAAACTGCCAGTGTTCTTGGCTGTCCACAAGAACCAGACAGCATGACCATGGCTGAGGACACCACATACTCTAACTACTGGACACTGAGGACCCAAGCTGGAAGTAGGCTGGACCTGTGTCCCTGCTGAGTTCATAGTGCTAGCAGGTGCTGTGGGAACCGGGGGAGAAGCGTCATCAGCAGTCTCCCTCCGCTGTGGTCCCGTGTGTGTGTGTGTGTGTGTGTGTGTGTGTGTGTGTGTGTGTGCGTGCGCACGCGCTGCAGTACCCCCCAGGACCACGCCCTTCAAGACCCAGGACACTGCAGCAGACAGGACAGAAGGAGGGATGGAGGTCTGTGAAACTGTCTCTGGGTACGCTATGACCACTGCAGCATGGAACTCAGGAGACCAGCTTCAGACTGGCCTGCCAGATGCCAGCTGAGGAGGAAAGGCTCCCTCCCCGAGGACAGCTAGTCAGACAGTAGTGGTTGTAGCCATTGGAAAGGAGCTTGCACTCCTGTGAGCAGCCCCAATTAAACACGCCAGACCACAACACAAAACAAGAAAGGCATGGAGGCGATATCCTTGTAGAAGAAGAAGTTGTGTTTCTACAAGGCTGTTAGGTCAGTGGTCAGGGAGAGCAATGGCTGCTCTTCCACAGGACCAGGGTCAGTTCCCACATGGAGGCCTACAACCATCTGTAACTCCAGTTCTGAGGGATCCAATGGCCTCTGAGGGCCCCATACACCTACACACACACATGCAAGCAACACACACACACACACACATAAAAACAAAACAAATGAACCGAAAATCCTAGCAGGCTGTGGTGGGGCACACCTTTAATTCCAGTGCTGGGGAGGCAGAGGCAGGAGGATCTCTGTGAGTTTGAGACCAGCCTGGTCTACAGAACAAGTCCCAGAAAATCCGGGACATGAGCCAAGAGCTCAGTGCTTGGCCATCTCATCACCGTGAACACTGCGTTTCTAACAAGCGCTGTCCATGCCCCTGCCAGTTTCCCTGAGGCCACGCTGTGAGAGCCTCTGTTCCAAGCCGGCCTGGCTGGGTCCTCACGTCAGAAGTCAGAGAGAGAGAGAGAGAGAGAGAGAGAGAGGGAGAGGAAATGGCATAGGAGCAGGCCACACCCTGTCCATCCTTCTCCCCAGCACTGACAGCCACTTGGGGAGGGAGCAGGCGTGGGGTCAGAGTTGAACCAGAGGCCCAGGCTCTACACACTGCACAGGGCCCCGCAGTGCGCAGGCGCTGTACCGGGTTAGCGGCCTCCTGGTTGACCCTGTACTGTGGCCGCTCTCAGGGCTACGATGTGAGGAGAGGGGCTCTGGGCCTCCTCTCACCCTCAGACCTAGTGGCACGGTTTGAGCAAACTGCAGGGTTGACACAGGTGACACAGTGACTCTGAAAATTTGGCAACTGGCTTCAGGCAGGTCCAGGAGTGCTGACTGCTCACCTTTGCTGTGCTGGATCCAAGGGGGCACGAGAGGGCGCGCTGAGCCCGCGGAACCCGCACTCCTGCCCCAGCCACCCAGAACCCTTCCAGGTGGGGCTCTCCTGAAGGCCGGTCACATGGTCCTTTGCTAAGCTGAGTTTATGTATCACGACAATCATCTTAGGCTTTCTTTTTTAATTTATTCTTTCTCTTCATGGGTATGGATGTTTTGCCTTCTATATGTGTCTGGTGTCCCTGAAAAGCCAGAATGGGATCCTGGAAATGGAGTGAACCAGCTTCCTGGTGCTGAGACTCAAACCAAAGTCCCCTGGGAGAGCAGCAAGTGCTCTCAACCACTGAGCATCTCTCCAGCCCTGTGCTTTCTTTTATTTCTCTGGGGAAGGGGTTCTGAAAAAGGATCTCCCCTGTACCCCAGGCTGGCCCAGTGCACCATGTGGTCCAGGCTAGTCTCAAACCCAAGGTGATCCTCCCACTTCAGCATCCCAAGTGCTGAGATTGTTGGTGTGAGTCTCTGAGTTCAGCTTTATTGTGCCTTTTAACCTACATGTAAAGAAAGGTGGGGAAATTAGGAAAACCCTATCAAAATGGTAGGAGGCAGCTTCCCTTGAGGGATGCTAATATTCCAGGACAGCTTCTCTCATTCTGGTTCTTTTTTATTACACATTTATTTATTTATTAGTTTTTGTACATTGGTGTTGTGCTTGCATGTATGGCTGTGAGGGTGCCGGGTGCCCTGGAACTGGAGTTGCAGACAGTTGGGAGCTCCATGTGGGTGCTGGGAACTGAATCCGGGTCCTCAGGAAGAGCAGCCAGTGCTCTTAACCCATGGGCCATCTCTCCGGGCCCCTGGTCGCTTTTATTAATGATTAAAAACTTCAGGCTGGGTGTGGTGACACACGCCTTGAAATCTCAGCACTTGGGGAGCAGAGGCAGGTGGGTCCCTGAGAGATCCAGCCTGGTCTACAAGGGGAGTTCCAGGAGAGCCAGAGCTACATAGTGAGGCCTTGTCTCAAACCCAAACACAAAATGGGTGTGTGTGTGTGTGTGTGTGTGTGTGTGTGTGTGTGTGCATGTGTGTGTGTGGGCTCATGTGCACACACCTAAACCAGGCTTTCTGACTTCAGTGCTGGGACACAGACATTTTCCCAGCACGAAAAGCTCAGCTTTTTTTTTTATTTTTTATTAATTACACTTTATTCATTTTCTATCACCCCATAAGAAGCTCAGCTTTTTAATGTCGTTTTATTAACCATAATGAAGAAAGAAAAACATTGATTTGGGCATAGTTTTTGTGCTTTGTTTTGTGTTTGCGTGTCTTGGTGCTAAGGATCTGTCCCAAATCAAAGATAGCCTGTCCCAAGCCACCTCCCAGGTTAAATTTTCACTTTTGTTGTTCTGTTTGCTTTGTCTTTTTCCTTTTTTTTCCTTTTTTTTTTTTGGTTTTAAAAATGGACAACTCAAAGGGCTAAAAGTCTCTCTCTCTCCCTCTCTCTCTCTCTCTCTCTCTCTCACACACACACACACACTCACACACAATTTTATTTTGGCCATAATTTCATGGTCCTCCTGCCTGTTTCTACAGTGCTGGGCTTTCAGACAGGGACCACCACAGCTGGCTTCCATCACTGTCCTTCAATTCTGTTCCTTTTTTCAATGTGGAACTACTTCCCAATAACACGTGACTGAACAAAGCAAATACCCGGAGAGTGGGGCAGCCATTGTGAGGCAGGGGACAATGACAACCTGGTACTGCTGAGCCTGAGTGACCTTGAGCAGAATGACTTTCAGAGGAATGTGGCCTGAAGCCAGAACAGAACAAAGTGAGGGGGAAGAAAGGTGCCTGAGGAGACAGGGTGGAGGAAGCTGCTGGGCATTCTTCTTTATCTCTGGGACCTAGACAAGGGGGTTCCTGTTGACTTAGCTCCTTCAGCCTCAGAGAACTCTCCTGAAGCAGGTTTTAAAAGCTGAAAACTCCTCCAGCACTTCTAGAACCTTTTGGAAAACTACTGTACTGTGGCCCAGTTTCTAACTTCCCAGGAATGTCCACAGGGCTGGCCCTCACCTCAGGACTTGGGCCACTGTTTCTGATAGTGTGTGATGAAAACACTCAGTAGGTTTTGAGGGTTGACACTAGGCTGAGCAAGGCGTCCTTCTCCTCACTCCAGAGGCAGCCAGGAAGAAAAGACAAGAGAGCAGGACCAGCCAGGCAGCTGCCATGACCCAGGCAGCTCACAGTACCCCCAGCTAGGCACTATCAGGAGTATGGCTGGAGGGATGGGGGTGTTGATGAAGGCAATGGTTTGGCACACAGGGACCGGGAGGAGGGAGGTTAAGGGCGACCTGAGCATAAGGGGGTGGGGAGCTGCGATGGGGTCATAGGCATGAAACCACCAATCTGAAGTAGGTGAGGTACAATGCTCAGTGCCAGGCAGCCATCACTGGGCCAGACCCAAAGAAAGGGACAAAAAAGATGAGACGCAAAGCCCAAGAACTAAGAAGAGCCTCCTCGCTGAGCTGGTACCCTGCCTGGCCCTCCCCTCCTCTAGAGCAGGACACAGCTCAGTGTCTAGGGTGTACTCTCTTTGTGAGGTGACTGTGGGGACACACAAAGGATTACAAAGGATTCTGGGATCTTCCAAAGGGATCTGGTTTCTAATATCCCTTTTTGTTTTTATTTTTTTATGGTGGAAAAGTAATATATTTAGAATTAACCAGCTGGACCCAGTTTAGAAGACCCGGATCATGTTGGCAACATCCAGAGCGTCATAATCAGGAGCCGACGGAACATAGGCTTCTGCTCTCCATCAGGCCTTGACAGTATTGACTTTGGCCACCTCAGTGTCATAGCTTGCTCACGGCCTGCTTGATCTGGTGCTTGTTGGCCCTGACATCCCCATGATCACAGTGTGTTGCTGTCCTCTCTCTGCTTCATGGCTGACTTGGTGGTCGAGGGGAACTGGATGATGGCGCAGTGGTCAAGCTTGTTTCTCCTGGGTGCGCGCTCTCCAGGGTATTTGGGCTGCCTGTGGAGCCGCAGGGTCTTGGGCCACCGGAAGGTGCGTGACTGTGAAGTGGGGTCTTCTTTTGGGGGCTGTGGATGCCTTTCAGCACCTCCTTCTTAGCTCTCAAGGCCTCTGCTTTGGCTTTGGCTTTGGGAGGGGCAGGTGCTTCCCTCTTTGATTTCTGCACCATCTTGGTGAAAGGCTCCTCTCCTTCTTTACTACAGTGATACAACACCTAAAAGGTAACATTTTTTTTTTCAGTGGGATTATTTTCTCTGTCTATTTTTGGTGCAGGGGATTGAACCCAGGACCTTCCACACTCCAGGCTTTGTTCCATCTTTGTCTTAGAACAACCTCCAAAGCCCTAGAGGGGGGAGGGGCTGGAGAGACAGGTCCACAGCTGACAGCACCTGCTGCTCTTGCAGTCCCCAGTGACCGCTGGGCAGCACACAGCTGCCAGGAACCTCAGCTGCAGGGGATCCGCTGCCCTCTTTCGGCCTCCTCAGGCACCTGTATGTGTGCGGAACCAACACACAGGCACATACGCACAGGCTCACACACACACACACACACACACACACACACACACACACTAAATACAGTTTAAAAATGTTTTTCAATTCCCCACATTTTAGAAGCAAATGTAGGCAGATCTCTGAGTCTGAGTTTGGGACCAGCATGGTGCATATCGCCAGTTCCAGGGCCACATAGTGAGAGACTGAGGAACCGGAGAGATCTTCTCAGAAAGTGGAAACCTCCTGGAGTGAATTCTCCTCAGTATTGCCAGGACACTTGCTCTGAGCCGAGAACTCTCAGCCCCACCCCCATCTGAGCAGGTGAGCTTCACGTTGACCATCTGGCTACCCCCAGCCTCATCCAGGGTGTGGCTAGGGAAGCTAAGGTTGATCTGGTCACCTGCCTGAGGTAGAGAAAAGGCGCTTCAGCCTGTTTCCCAGGCCTCTTTAGCAGCTCAGATGGCCGGCCTAAGGCCTGTGGCTGACAAAAAATGCAGCCCTCCTGGAAGCAAGGAGGCAATAAAGGAGCCATGGCCCCTGAAACTGCTTCTACCAAGTGTGACCTCACACCATGCAGAAAAATACTCTCAGAGAGAGGGCCGGAGAGATGGCTCAGTGGTCAAGAGCACTGTCTGCTCTTCCAAAGGTGCTGGGTTCCCAGCACCCACATGGCAGCACACAGCTGTCTGTAACCCCACTTCAAGGGTTCTGACACCATCACAAAATGAAAATTAAGTAAATACTGAGTAACCACACCTTCCAGATGCTGTGCTGCTGGGTCCCGACAGCCTCCACCAGGTCAGGAGAGATAGATGCACTAGGCGCCTGGCACTCAGGTAGACCCTCAGCCCTGGGCAGAAGCTAAGCCAGGGACCGCTGGACACCAGGTGTGTACTGTTCACTGTCTCTACTTTCTCCAGTTCTGCGGAGCCCCGACCAGGCCGCAGCAGAGCCAGCCTCACAGCAGACACCTGAGCTCTGGGCGACCTAAGGCCGGGTGAGCCACAGCTGGAAACACTGGTCCCATCACCAGGCACCAGTGAGTTATGGCTCAGCTGTGCTCAGCTGTGCAGACCCTTGCTCATCTGGGGAGCAGTCCCCTCCCGTGTTCTCTGACCTTTATAGGGTGCTGTGAGCCTTCCTGAGCCCACAGAGTGGAGGCGGTAAGACGGGTCCCTCAGAGGCTGGCTGTCCAACACTCTGACTCATTTGATTTGATTTTGTGGGTTTGTTTGTTTGAGGGGGTTCTTGCTGTAGGCCTGGCTGGCCTGGAGCCCACGATATAGAGCAGGCTGGTCTAGTCTTTGCTGTGACCCTCCTGCCTCTGCCTTCTGGGGGCTGTAGTCACCGTGAGTTCCACCACACCTGGCACATTGCTTTGTGCTTTGAGCAGCTTCTGGGTGTGTCACCACACTGTCCCAGAATGGAAATCCTCCTGTTTGTTTGTTTATCTATCTATATATTTATTTATTGAGGGTGGGTTGAGGCAGGGTTTCTCTGTGTAGCCCAGGCTCTTCTGGAACTGGCTCTGTAGACCAGACTGGCCTAGAAGTCACAGATAGTCTCCTGCCTCAGCCTCCCTAGTGCTGAGATTAAAGGTGTGTGCCACCGCTGCCCAGCTGCGGTGTTTTTTAAATTTATTTTATGTGAATAGTGTTTTACTCGAGTATCTGCACCAGGTGCCCACAGCGGGAAGACAGCGCTGGATCCCCTGGACCTGTAGTTACGGATGTTTATGTAGGAGCCGGGAACCAAGACCCTGGTCCTCCGCAAGAGCAGCCAGGGCCATCTCTCCAACCTTCAATAAATTTTCATTTTATTTTATTGCATTGGTGTTCAGACTGCATGCATGTCTGTGGGAGGCACCCCGGACTGTTACACAGAGAAACCCTGTCTGGAAAAACAAATCAAAAGCTTCTCAGCAAGATGACCACTTAACGTGAGCTGAGCAAGGGTGACAGTGGACATGACAAAGGGATGGGAAAGCTCGCACCCCAGACAAAGGACTACAGGCAAGTAAGGAATGCTGGGAGCAGGAGAACTAGCCTTCCCCAGGGAAGAGCACATGAAATGGTAAAGCGATACCAAATGGTCAGCCCTGAAAACATGCCTGTAAGTAGCATTACACAGACTGTGTACACACACACACACACACACACACACACACACACACATATATATATATATATATGCTTAACAGCAGCTACTGAGGAAAATGAGGCCCTGAATTTGAAAGAGAGCAGGGAGGATTTGGAAGGAGCAAGGAAATCGGGAAATGATGTGAGGATTTCATTCCTGCTTTACCCTAGTGAGTCTGCAGAGGTGCCAAAGGCCTGCAGAGGGATGGATACTGGAGAGGGAAGGATGGAGCCAAGACCCCCCCTTCCTTCACTTAGGTTTTCCTCTCTTTAGCCATCGCCTCCAGCCTTCCCTGTAGGGAAAAATCCAATGCAGCCTTTCAGAGTCAGGAGCAGCTTTCCCCTGGACCCCTGGCCCTGTCCCAGCAGTCACAAAGACAGGGTCCTAGGCAAAGGGTATTTCTAGCCTGTGGAAGTGTGTTTCTAACCAGCAAACAACTCTGGGCCTGCTAAGCGTCTAGGTCAGGCTACCCCCAGCCATGGCCTTCCCAGGGGCAGCTGTCCACACAGTGTGTTTCACATCTGTTTGGGGTCAGCATCTGGCCTTGCACAGCAGCCTGGCCTTGAGGTGAGATCCTGCCTCAGCTTCCCCAGTACTGCCGTGACAGGTGTGTGCCACCACATCTGGTTTGCACCTTCTCTTCTCCTTTTCTTACCCCTCACGTTCTTTTAGTCAGGCTCTCAATAGCACGGGCTAGCCTGGAGCACCCAGGACTCTGCCTGCCTCTGTCTTCTAGCATTATAGATGGGAGGCAACACACTCAGCGTAAATGATCATCATCATCTTCTTCTTTGTTTGTTTTTGAGACAGGGTTTCTCTGTTTTAGCACCGGCTATCCTGGAACTCACTCTGTAGACCAGGCTGACCTTGAACTCACAGAGAGCCGCCTGCCTCTGCCTCGCCCTCCATCCCCAATGCTGAGACTAGAAGTGTGCACCCCCATGGCCCGGCTTAAATTCTGATCTGTGTGGTTTCTGATGCTGTTTTCTGAGCAGAGCTGGGGATGGACTCTGGGGCCATGCGTGTGTTTGGCGTGAGTTCCGTCACGGAGCCGCACTCCCACCTGGGCTGTCTCTTCTAACCTTGTTGGTAGCAGTGGTGGAGGTGGGGGATGGGAACCACCTTGTGTGGCTGCTGCATCCTAGGCTCACTCTCCAGTGAGCAGTTCCCAGCCCAGCTACACCCACCCCTCCCCCACCCCACCAGGACATCGCAGTGGGAGTTTAAGGGAACCAGCTGTTAAAAAAAAAAAGAAAAAAAAAAAAAAGAGGTTCTGCTTTCTGAGTTAGAACTTAGGGAGCCAGACCAGGGCTGGGCGTGGCTGGGATGCATGACTTAGCCACTCAGAGGCAGAGGCAGGCAGCTCTCTGGGTTTGAGAGCAGCCTGGTCTGAAGGAGGTCTGCTGGGGAGCAGGAGGGAGCCCCTGGCAGCCAGGACAGAGGGTGGAGCACAGCGTGGGGCCTTTTCCTGGCTCCTGTGTGACAGAGAGGATGAGCAGGTGTCTATCAGTGAGAAGGGAATTCCAGGTCTTTGGAGGGAGAAGAGCCACTGCCTGGCTTCTTTGTAACAAGAGTCAGGCCCTCCCGCCCAGGCTGCTCTCCTGAGCCAGCAGGAAACCAGAGGACCAGGGTAAACCCACCTGCAATCATGACTGCCAGGACACACTTCTCAGCTCTGTGGAGTCTTTCAGATCACAAACCAGCAGAACTACCAAGAGGGGCAGGAAGCGAGGCACTGGACCAAGAGGGGCAGATCCTCTCTGGGACCCCTTGGGAGCTGGGTCACTGAAAGGGAGGCTGGAGATGCGGAGGACATTGGGTTGGGAGGCCGGGAGAGTGGGGCTCTAGGCCAGCTGCAGGCCCTCCCTTTCAGCCTCTGGGCATGGGGGTAGGGGCTCTTATTGCTACACCTGACACCCAGAAGTTCAATTCCCGGCCCCCACATGGTGGGAGAACACAGCCCAGTACCCAAAGCTGTCTGTTCTCACACACTAAATAAAAATTAAATGAAGAGATATTTTATTTACTTTGGTTTTTCATGGCATAAATTCTCTGTGTAGCCCTGGCTGTCCTGGAAGTCATCTCTAGA